TTCAGTCTTAGTTTAGGGTGGGCATAGCCCACCATCCCAAGCGGGAGTCGAACCGGAAACCTTTTAGTTAGGAGCACATGCTCTCACCAGCTGAGCCATCCTGCCACCTGTTGGGCAGCTCAGCTCGGGTGCAGCTCACTGGCCCATGTGGGAATCGAACCACCAACCCTGTTGCTCAAGAGCTCGCGCTCTTAACCAACTGAGCCACTCAGCATTTGTTGACAGGGTAAGTTTTGGGTATGATTGGATTTGATTGTCTAAAGTCCAGTAGCTCTGGTACATGTAATACATTTGGTATCATCATCATATCACCCTATCCCCAACACACACATTGGCCTCCAAACTTTGATAAGTTTTATGAGTGCTAAGCTTGAAAAAAGTGATTTAAAAAAAAGATGTGGGATTTAAATAGATGTTATTTTTGCGGCCGTGGATCATAAGTTGTTTTTTAGTAAAGGTAAAACTAAAAACTTTGGAAATCTCTTTGCAATCCACTTTTTAGTCTAAAGCAGTGGCTCAGATTTTTTTGATGAGGTTCTAATAAGAAATAAATTTTACATTGCAATTTCCTACACACAAGAACACAAACACCAGAAACAAGTTTAGGAACTTACCATTATTTGGGTACAGTTTTCTCTGATATTTTCTATTTTTCTATGTTTTTTCTTTTTAAATGCTGATTATATGCCAGTAAATTCATTTTCAGACCCAATAGTAGATAGTGACCTATAGATTAACATTGTCCTACAGGATCTCATTGATCTGATGAAATGAGCTTTTTTTTTTTTATCACCTAGGTGATTGGTGAAAAGAGCTATGCTGGCTATTTTGAGTTTCTCAAAACTCAGATTTCAAATGCACTTTTAAGTGCCTAATGAGAAACTTGTTAAATTATAGAAAGTTCACAAGGTGGTTTTTGTTATTATTCGCTGCATTTACCAGAACAATATAACTTCCTTCAGGGTAAAAATGGAAGTACAGTCAGCTTGACTGAGCTAAATAAAGTAGTAGATTGTTGTCACTCTATTTACCTGGAGAAAATGGTTTTGTGCTTTTTAAGTGGTATAAAGCTTAGGGTGTCAATAATTAAATGTGGGTTTCTGTTTAAATGTTCTGCTTCCTCACCTGGAGCTTGCTTGTTACCTTACTCCATATTTTGCCATGCAGGTTTATCATAAAGTAAAACTGGATTGTGTGGTCTTATTTGTTTTCTTACCTGTAAAGCTAGGAAGTTAGATCGTATCTCAAAGGTGTGGTAATTTCCATCTGAAATAATTGTAATCCTTGACTCTTCAGAATGTTAGTTTTACATACCTCACATTTCAGGAATATCTTTTGGTCTTAGATGGTTGCTGCTACTAGAAAGAAAAAACATTTGGAGGGTAGACATACCAGTATTTAGTAGAAAGAAGTTGATGATTAAGAGTGGAAGAGGAGGCCAGCCAAAGTTGGTTAAGAGCTCACTTAAGAGTGCAAGCCCTGAGCAACAGGGTCGCCGGTTCAATTCCTGGACTGAGCAGAGCTGCCAACAGGTGGCAGGTTGGCTCAGCTAAAAAAAAAAAATGAGGGCCGGCCGAGTGGCGCATTGGTTAAGAACTGGCTTGGGACGCCAGAGGGCCCCTGTTCGGATCCCACATATGAGGGCCAGTGACACTGCCCTCTACAGCTCAGATGCTGCACAACAGTTCAACCTGGAGCTGCGTTGCCGTGAGTCCCCGGTGTCGGCGTAGGCTGCAGCCCCTGCTGCAGTGGGCTGCCATAAGCTACTGAAAGTGGCTGGCAGCAGGCGTGAGCTTTCGTGAGCCGCCGTGAGCCACTGTGAGTGGCTGTCCAATGGCCGGCGAGCGACTGCCTCACCCAGGAAGAGCGCAATGATAATACCAACATAGGACAGTGAAGTGATGTCCTCCACAACTAGACTGAAGAACAAAAGGACAGCAACTTGTCTGTTCCCCTTCCCCCAATTCCCCAATAAAATCTTTAAAAAAGAGAACAAGGATAGAAAAAATATACTAAATAGTTGCCTTTTTAATTTGTTAGATTTAAAGTGACAAGTTCTTTAATATGGAAGAAACTAAATTTTCCTCTGTAGTTAGGGGCAGTAATGACTAAATGTCTGATAGGCTGAAAACTCCAGTGGCGCACACGTCCTCTACTGATGATAGCCTTTTCACCCCCAAATCTTTTGCTGATGCCAAGTCTGCACTTATCAAACACATCTCTTGAATTTGGTGTTCCGAATGAAAGAGAGACGACCCCTGTCCTCAAGAAATTCAATTTAGTAAGAAAGACAGACATTTAGTAAATTATATAGTACCACAGGTGAAAGGTGTGGGGGTGAGATTATATCTAATATGAGTGTGATTGATATGAACAGCATTTTAGGCCAAGGAGCAACATGACCAGGTGGTAAGAAACTATGATTGGAGAATTTTAAAAGTTCCTGGGTTGCTTGATTGTTAAGTGGCAAGAGATGAGAATTTAAAGAGATGGGATATTATCCTCTAAACTATTTTACAAAATTAGGCTCCTAACAAAGCTCTTAAATTTGGCCCTTAGAGCAAAAAGTTCAGAAAACACTTGAGTGCCTAGTTTTACCTTGCTCTGTACCAGAAATGTGGATGTAAGATATGGTTTTTACCTTCAGGAAACTCTAATGAAGAAAAAAATTATACAGCAATACTAAACTTTAATATAAATTTATTTAATTTACAGAGCAACTTTTTAGATCTGTCAGCAGCTTAGGTCATCCGTTTTAACAGAGGAGGATCTCAGGCCCAGAGAAATTAGTGATTTGCTTGAAGTTCTAGAACCAGAACCCAGGATTCCTACTAACAAAGATTCTGTACTTTAGAATTCCTTCCTGGAGTGTTCCACTACTAGCGATACACTAAAACGGTAACTATCATTGGCAAACTGTTAGAAAGTTCTTTATGTTGAACCCACACTTAATCTGCTCACCAAAGCCAAGCAGGTATATTTACTACTGCTTTCATTTCAAAGCCATAAAGTAACTAACACGTTTTCTCTTATTCAAGTTAAAAATCTAGTTTATTCAATTGTTCTTAGTATGACATACCCTTCACCATTCTAGTTACCCTTCGTTATATAGCCTCATAGGATGTATTTCTTGACTTAGGTACCCAGAAATTATAGCAATGTTTTAATGGTGATCTCACCAGCATGGATAAGCTACTATAGAATAATTATGGCTGCAGTTTCACAACCTATACATTAATTATTAGAGATAAAGACTTAAAACTCCCTCTTCTGGATACTTTCCTTCACCTGGTTCCATGTCCTATTTTCCTTGATCATAAGTAATGCAGAAAATGATCATCTTTGTGTTATGATCATAATACTGTTTCTCATGGCATCTATCATTAAAAATCACTACTTTGCGAGAACATGGGAGGCATTTGATTTCTAGCCCACCCCCCAAAGTACTTCAGTGTTTTTAGGTTTTTTAAAGATTTTATTGGGGGAGGGGAGCAGACAAGTTGTCCTTTTGTTCTTCATTCCAGTTGTGGAGGAAATCGCTTCACTGGCCCATGTTGGTATTATCATTGCGCTCTTCCCGGGTGAGGCAGATCGTTTGCCAGCCCTTGGACGGCCGCTCACGGCAGCTCTTGGCAGCTCATGCTGGCTGCCAGCCACTCATGGTAGCTTACCGCAGCCCACTGCAGTCTACGCCGTCACCAGCAACTCATGGCAGTCCAGCTCGAGCTGTTTTTCACCATATTAGCTGTAGAGGGCAATGTCACTGGTCCTCATGTGGGATCTGAACCAGGGCCCTGCTGCTGAGCTGGCGTCCCAACCAACGTGCCACTCGGCCAGCCCTGTACCACAGTTTCTTGATCCATTCCTCTACCAGTGGGCATTTCGGTTGTTTCCAAGTCTTGGCTATTGGAAATAGCGCGGCAATAAACATAGGGGTGCATATATTTTTTCAAATTAGCATCTTGGGTTTCTCTGGATAGATACCCAAGAGTGGAATTGCTGGGTCATACGGTAGTTACATTTCCAGTTTTTTGAGATACCTTGTGCTTGAATTTTGACCATCCTGTCTGAATTTAACTGGTGTCTTAATCTATAAAACCAGGAATATCCCTCTGCTCAGGTTTAATGGCATGTTTCTTTTAATCCTTTCAGTTTACTTGTTCAGTATTCATTTAGTTACAGTACACCTAAGGCTTTTGAAAGTCAGGCTATCTGGATACTTTACATGGAAGCTCGTGTGTGTGTGTGTGTGTGTGTGTGTGTGTGTGTGTGTGTGTGTGTGTGTGTAGTCTCCAGAGAAGGGATTTTAAACTTCTAGACTTAAAATGTGAAATAGGAAAATGGAATTAAGGTTTGTTCGAGATGTTAAAAAGATGCCTTACCTAGTAGGAAGTAGTTAACATTGAGTCAAATAGATTCATGGATTTGTGAGACTTTTGTATTTTTCTTAATTACAGACCCTTTAATAAAAAGCATCTCTTGAATGGATCAATTTTTTTCTTCCTCGTTTTTGTAAGGCATAACTTGCTGTCACCATAATTTGTATATTGTAATGTAATTAAATTTACAAATCACTTTGCCTTGAAAAAACTCAGTAATCTTATTTATCAGTATGCATGTGTACGTATGTATAGCAATAAGAAAAAGTAACTTTCACAGTTTTGGTTTGTGCATGTGATATCTCTATAAAATACAAATGGGAGTTTGGTTTATTTTGCTGTTTTATGTATATATTCGGGGTGTGAGGTTGTTTTGTGGAAAAGAATAGTATTTGAGCTATCACTGAGATGAGCAATATAAGAATTGTAGTTTAAAATACTTTTGGCTTAAGCCACACATTCCTGTAACAAAATGTGAAGCTTTTTGGCTGAGGTGTGAGGGCTTATTGAAAAATAATTTTCAGAGAGCTACTTCAAATTCTGTTTGGGAAAAACATGTTCTAATATCTTAGGGGAAAGTCCTACGTACTTTATGATCTTGATTAGAATCTCTTTTTACAGAAATAGGAAGGTCGTCGATTATTCACAGTTTCAGGAATCTGATGATGCTGGTAAGTTTTACGATTTTAATAAATTATAAATTGGGCCCTGCTTACTAGTAGAAGAATCACCAGCTTATGTACTTTTTTATTATGCTTTTGGAATGAGTTTTATTTTTTACTTTTAGACTGTATGTAAATTACATCAGGATCTGTGTCACCCAGAACAAAAGTTGAACTTGCATGGATTTTAACTTTTTCTTAGTAAATCATTGATAAAAACACTTGAATAATTTTTTTCTTACCAGTTTTGGCGTCCAAAGTTTAACTGTGCAATGATTCCGATGCAGTGTTTATTAGTTAATATATCTCCTGCTATAGTCACAGTTAAAACTTGTACCTTATAAATAGGGAATATTTTAGTTTTTGCATAGTAACGTAACTAAGATGAGAGTATTTTGTGAAACAATTTTGATTTGTGAACTGATTCATCATAGAATGAGTAATATATCTTAAATATTAGCCATAAAAGGTTGCTTTAGAATATGCCTATAATCTCATTATTTTCCAGATGCATTTATTATTCTTTTTTTAAATGTAGTATTACTTAGATAATAAGTGCACTTTGGGAAAACTTAAAAATGCAGAAATGTATAAAGAAGAGTAAAAAAATAACATATAATGCAGCCTCCAGAGGGAATACTAACATTTATTAAATGCTTGCTAAATGTTTGTATTTACTCGTTTAATCCCTCAGAACAATCCTGTTAAAATGGGGTATATATTATTTCCATTTTACAGATAAGGGAACTTGAGGCAAAGATTGGACTCTAGTTCCTTTAGCCAGCAAATGGCTATTTTAACCATTTTGTTGAAAAAGCTTTTAACTTTTTTTTTTCTTTTAAAAAATATGTTGAAGTCTTGCTATAGAATTTTTGGGTTCTGTCTCTCTCCCACCCTACCCCTACTTAAGAATGTCTTTCTCGTGTTATCAAAAGTTACTTGAAAAATTCCTATTAATGGTCGTATGATATTTCATAATAGAATTTATAATGTATCCAACCATTTAATTGCTGAAGTCCCAAACTACTTCCAGATTTTTGCCCTTATATATAATGGTGTAGTAAACCATTTTGGAAATAAACACCTTTAAGGTGTGGTAATTGTCTTTAGTTTTATAGGGCTTTTAAAATTGGAAGTATTTTCCTCAAATGCCAGAGTACTATATTTAATACTTTAATTTAAAAATAATTTATTTGATAACAGAAATTGTATTAGAATTGTAGAATTGTGGGATCTTTACATTCTAAAATGCTTATAATATAACCTAACCATATTACTAATAGTTTTCAAATTAATATGAAGATGTGGAAACATGGGGAAATCTTTAGTAAAAGGGTAGGATATAAAATGATAAGAGATATTTGGCTATAGATATATTAAAACAGACATGAGGACAAGTGGGTAATATGCAAAAATGGAAGTGATTTAGCTAAGGTGGTAGGACTGGGACAGAAAAATAATTTCTTTCTTTTTAATGAAAGAAAATTACTTGGGAAATCCTGCCGCCTCACCATTTAAATAGCATGACAGATAATTATCTCAGTAAATGCAGTGGTAATTTCTACATGTAGAAATCATAATATAGTTCACTGAATTTGAAAAATGCTCTGTTTAGATGAAGATTATGGAAGAGATTCAGGCCCTCCAGCTAAGAAAATTCGATCATCTCCCCGAGAAGCTAAAAATAAGAGGCGATCTGGAAAGAATTCACAGGAAGATAGGTAAGAGACATGGTTAATTTGTTCCTGCTTACACTGTCTACCACTCTGAGACGAGGGTAGTTTCTGACCTCTAAATTGGTGGAATCTTCATTTATTTTGGGAAGGCACTTATGGTCTACTTAATGTTATTTTGCATATTTCATCTTAGGCAGTGCTTTTGAGTCTAGAGGTTAGCCTCTTTAAGGTCTTGAGGCTTGCTTGGACTCAGCCCGGAATCAAAGGTGATCTTCAAGAATGCCTTTGTTGCTACCCAAACCTCTGTACATAAGCAGAAAGATAATTATGTAATTTGTTACCTAAGGTTAATATTGACATTTTCGTTGTAGTGATAGCAAATAACGAGTGGACCTTTCCTGTTCAAGACACAAATCACTGGTAGAATCATAACTAAAGCTTATAGTTTTTTAAGTTTTACTGTCTATAATCAATTATCCTTTGTTTAGATAATTGAATCATTTTGGGCAGTTTCCTTTTCCTTAGTTTTATAAATGAGTTCAGACGAATTGTAATTTTAACTAAAATTGCCTCATGAGACCCAGGATATTGTAACTTTTGCCTCTGCTTTTACAAGTATACACATACATTCTTATACTCAGTGTGGCATAATTGTAAGACCTCCTTGATGATGGTGAAAACTACCATTTATGACATTTCTAGTCTCTATTATGTGCTAATTTATATTCATTATCATTTAATTTTTACAACACCTTTATTAGGGAAAGTAGGTGTAACTTAAAGGGATTCAGTGATTTATCCAGGGTTACCCATCAAATAGACCCAGCAGGTTTTGAAACCATGTCTGTTAGATTCCGAAGTCCATTTTTTAAGTATGAGAAGTTCAAAGATATGAAGTAATATTTCTTACTAGTTCTTCTAAAATACTTACCTTCAAGCACTAAAATCACTATAATAAAGCCCTAGGCAAAGTCTTTTCCATTCTTTCCATTTACAGGATGGTAAATTTGTAGAAAGAGCAATACTAAATATATACTAAATACAGTATTTTTTTTATTGTTTGCTTGTACTGCTAACCTCTGCTATTTTCTTTCCTGGAAAATTTCAGAAATGTGGCTTTGAAGAGAAATAATGCAAAATTATACTGTGGGGACAGGTCTTCCATAGTTTCACAGTATGTCTCTCTAATACAGTTTTATACAGCAGCCCAACTTAGAACTATCTTTCATTATATTTGACTAACAAGTTCTATTTCTTCTAGGAATGAGCTTCTTTGTGGCCTGTTTTAATGTCTCCTCAATGTAATTGATATCTAGCCTAAATTTTTCCTTGTTATAGTCATTTGGCTTTATTATTCTCTCCCAAGTGTCAGGAACGGTTGAAAATAAATGTAGCTTTTATTGCCATTTGTATTAAGTGCCTTTTATGTTTATTCCCTTAGACCATATTATTATGTTGATTTTTCTCTTGGTCTCTACTTGATAGTTCAGCTTTTACTTGACTTTGTTGTAATGGGACTCGAGAATTAATGGTTTCTGTAAACTCAAGAACTAGAGAAAATGATATAATTCTTTATCATTGTCATAGACTTGTGAATTGAATGCTTGTTTTGCATAAAAACATTTATATAGAACGTCAAGGTTTCAGAATTATAGTGTTTCTTGGATCGGATTGCTTAGTAAAGAAATATGTTTGGTTTTCTCTTAACTTAGGAATCTTGGGTTCAGTAGTTTGTCATTTGAGTGTGGTCTAGATTATGGGAAATACCCAAAGAGATTAAGAAGACCTGCTATTTGAGAAAGGAAAGCTATGCAGGCAGTTTTTATATATGAGTGTTTTCTTTTTTTGTTTGTCAGAATTTCTCATAGAATCATAAAATTTTAGTACTAAAGAGGAATACCAAGAGATTTGCCTGAGATCATAAAACTAATGACAAAGATGGGACACTAGAACCCAGATTCCCGAGTTAAGATTTGTGAGGACATAAAATGTGCATCTTTGTGACTTTAAAAATTGTTTTATAAAACTTTGAAACTTCTCCTTATTTTTTTTACTTTGCAGTGACTTTTTTTTTTTTAAATTGGGGAACAGTGTGTTTTTCCAGGACCCATCAGCTCCAAGTCAAGTAGTTGTTTCAATCTAGTTGTGGAGGGTACATCTCAGCGGCCATGTGGGGATCGAACCAGCAACTTTGGTGTTATGAGCACTGTGCTCTAACCAACTGAGCTAACCAGCCTCCCCTTTGTGGTGATCTTGAGCTCACTTTATGATACAAGGCAGGCCTATGTGCTCATGTTTCTGATGCATAGAAATATTGGAGGCAAAAAATATTTAGTTAATTTTTATTTTCATTTTGCTTTAGTTAAATTTTTAGGCATATTATAATTTATATAACTGAATTCCAGTTTCCTTTAATAATTTAGATTTTGTTTGCATCTGTATTTTGTGCTCTCCATTTATTTGCCTACTTTATTACCACCATTGAGACATTATATAATTGTAGTATTTTTGTAGTCTGCCTCTAACAACAAAGAATTTTTTTCTTATGAACTAAGCCTTATCCACAGGTGAGTAATTTTCAGCCTCTATTGAGATACCTTCTTTTTTCCCTTGGGCCTCTTAGGAAGCAGTGGTTTCCTAAAGTAGATAAAATTGTGCTTATTCACCAACATCCCTATAAAATAGGGAAATAATAGAAGCAACTTTACTCCTCAGCATCTGTTTGACTATTTTATGTATAAAGGAGGTTTTCTTCAGTGTTCTTCTCCAGTCAGATACCAGAGATCCGTGTTCACTTAGATTTTGATCTAATAACTTGCAAACTTTTTACTCCTTCCCCTTGTAGTGAGGACTCAGAAGAAAAAGATGTGAAGACCAAGAAAGATGATTCTCATTCAGCAGGTAATAAACAATTTTTAATGTAATAGGTAATCTTTATTTATTGGACACTTTAATAAGCAGTTTTATAGTAATGCCTGGCGCTATTGTAAATTCTGGCATTACAGAGGTGTTTCCATCTTTGAAGAGCTCATAGTGATTCTCAATCCTGGTGGTGTATGACAGTTACCTGTGAAGGTTTTTTCTAACATACTTATGCTTCTCCCCACCCCAGGATTTCTGATTCAGTGGGTCTAGGTGGGATATTGATTGGGGCTTTGTTTTTGTTTGTTTGTTTGTTTGTTTGTTTGTTTTTAAGTATTTACAGGTTATTCTTATACATAGTCAAGATTGAAAACCATTTATATGAACAAATAAAAGACATCAAACTAAGTAGAATAAGAACATATATAATACTAAGTGAAATAGGCATAAACAGAGGGGAGTGATCAACTCTGGGTTGAGAAGCAAACAACGGTTAGTTTCAGTCCTTTTTTTTTTAAGATTTTATTGGGGAATTGGGGGAAGAGAACAGACAAGTTGCTGTCGTTTTGTTCTGTACATGTTTGTATTATCATTGCGCTCCTCCTGGGTAAGGCAGCCGCTTGCCGGCCATTGGACAGCAGCTCACGAAAGCTCACGCCAGCTGCTGGCCAGCCCCACTGTAGCCTACGCCGTCACTGGCTACTGACGGCAGTCCAGCTCCAGGTCGAGCTGTTGTTCACTATCTTAGCTGTAGAGGGCGCAGCATCACTGGCCCTCATGTGGGATCCGAACCGGGGCCCTGCTGCTCAGAGATGGCGTCCTAAGCCAGCTCTTAACCAACGCACCACTTGGCAGGCCCCCAGTCCTACTCTTTTTTTAGCTGGGAAGTAATCCTTTGAAATAGTAGCCACAGGGAACACTTTTTTTTTTTTTTTTAGCTGAGCCATCCTGCTACCTATTGTCAGCTTAGCGGCAGCTCGGCTCGAGCCGGGCATTGAACTGGGGAACACTTTTTTTTGCAAAAATTTTAATTTAATGTTGCTGAGCTGCCAACAGGTGGCAGTATGGCTCAGCTGGTGAGAGCACGTGCTTCTAACAACAAGGTTGCTGGTTTGACTCCCGTTTGGGATAGTGGGCTATGCCCACCTGCAACTAAGATTGAACTCGGCACCTTGAGCTGAGCAGCCGCAAGCTGCCGACGGGGCAGCCAGATGGCGACTGGCGCCCTCCACAACTAAGATTGAAGGACAGCAACTTGGCTGTAACCCCTTCCCCAATTCTCCAGTAAAATCTTTTTTTTTTTTTTTTTTAAGAATTTTAAAAGAATTGATGAGGACATTCCATGGCCAAATAAAATATTAAGTCTTGATTACTTATTGTTGGCGTTTTATTATTTTTTTTAATTTAACTCTTCTAAGAATTGAGAGTTTATTCCATATTGCTCCCAACCACTTTGGTTTTGACCTGCAGCCCACTACATCTGCCTTACTGGATCTCCCTTTAAAACTAGACTGCTATTTAGCTGGTATGTGGATGGTAGAGTTCCCCTGAACACACTCCACTAGGCTGCTTTGCTTTCATTCCTTTTCAAGTCTGCTACCTGACTGTCGAAATTGAAAATAAATTGTAGTAACCTTTTGTGCTATCTAGTGATGCTATGATAATATAATATGCACTTTTATTCATCTGCCTTGTGCACTTGAATTTGAATCTCTTGCATTTATTAGCTTATTGAGCACTTCAAGAGAAATAACTGTACTAGTACTAAGCATACCTCCTACCAGGTGGGTTTAATTTTGAGTTTACCAAGTCAGCTCTTACTCCCTGTGTCTATTTGTCTCCAGATGAGGTTTTTGGCAGTGAAAGTGATGACTTGAACACGCACCAAGGCAAGGCTTATAGGACTACAAGTGCTTCCAGAAAAGAAACAGCTAAACTTGAACAGAATAAGGGGGTCTCAAGTCCAGGAAAAGGGCTGTAGATAGAGATCAACACAGATATACCTTGATCTAGAGCCAGTAGGCTTGGCAGCCTGCCCTGTGACCAGATTTATTCACAAACACAACTGTGTTGAATTTTGTTTTAATTAACAGACTATTGCATATGAAAGTAATTTTATAAACTTGTATTAAGAACTAATTGATTTAAATATGTGCTTTAAAGATTTACCTCAATCCCCTCTAAATTAAAATGGCCACGTCTCACTCATTGGAAAGGATAGTTTTGCTTAATTTTAGGGTCTTCAGATGTTTTGTATCTTAGAATAAATATAATTGGAAGATAGTCTTACCCTCTTCCACTATTTAAAAATATTAACTTCAGATTCTAAAAACTGAACATATATTTAAATATAATTGAGAATTTTAGGGCAAAGCAATGATATAAGTTTAAAGTGTGTTACAGGAAGCATATGTTCACACCTAAATTCAGCTTTATTATTACTTAAAACTACATGCCTAAGTTATTTTACATGTAATAGTGGGGCACATAATCTTATTCAAGTTCATTCTTTATGTTTTAGCTCCTCTTTTGTAGGCATTTTAGATGATCACCTTCACCCTTTTTTAATGAAATAAAGCTGCAGGTTATATCATATTGACCACTGCATTGGCTTTTCTAGTTAGCTGTGAAATAAACACAACTCTTGCATCATAACTTGGTATTGCAGAGGACAGTGAAGATGAAAAAGAAGATCATAAAAATGTGCGCCAACAACGGCAGGCAGCCTCTAAAGCGGCTTCTAAACAGAGAGAGATGCTCATGGAGGACGTGGGCAGCGAGGAGGAGCAGGAGGAGGAGGACGAGGCGCCATTCCAGGAGAGTACGTAAAGCTGGCGCGTCGCTGTGCTCGTGGTTGTGGATGCTAAACGTTACAGACGGTCCCGTAAATCACTCACTGTTAGAAGAGATGACAGCTTTGACATCGGTTGATATTTTAAAAGGTTCAGAGGTTCCCATCGTTATGGTGCCCATCATTTGTACGCACATACTTAATGAACAATTGTTAAAGTTACATGGTCAGTGTTGTGATTAAGATTTGTGTTTTAGCCCGGAGGAGAAGGGTGTAGACCTCTTTCCCTGACAAAAAAGTGTTAATAACAGAATTTACAAGTTTCACGGGTTACCCAGATTAATTAGTTACGTGTATTATTGCTTTGTATGTAGTTTTATTGTTTCATTTGTTCATAGTTGGACCGAACACACCAAGTCAGTTTCATTTCATTTCCCTGGTCTCATCAGTACTATATGGGAATGATATAACTACTGAAAGTTGTTTGATGGCTTCAATTTTTATTCAGATTTAATTCTGTCTCTTCCTGCTTTCAAGCAACTCTTCAAACGAATCAGTCATATAACCCTCATGTGCATGCTAAACCCATTTTACAGGTGGGGCCAGTGACAACTCCCACCAAATTGGTAGTACAGCTGCAAATAGAATCCAAGCGTGTTTGACTCCCAACTCCCATGCTCCAGTCATTCTTAGCACTCTCTCCCTTTGTTCACTTGGAAGGATGTATACATTAAGTTGGACGTTGAAATTCTTCTTTCCTCTCAGAAGATTCCGGCAGCGATGAAGATTTTCTAATGGAAGATGACGATGATAGTGATTATGGCAGTTCAAAAAAGAAAAACAAAAAGATGGTTAAGAAGTCCAAACCTGAGAGAAAAGAAAAGAAAATGCCCAAACCCAGGCTAAAGGCTACAGGTGAATTGAAATTAAATTACTGCTTTAAAAAATTTCAAAAACCAATAAACTTTCTCTATAGAAATTCTTCATTAGGGCTTGGCATTGGCCACATAGTTAATAAGAATAAACTAATTCTGAAAGGATCCTGTCTTCTGCACATGCACCTGGAAATATCATTTATTTAGTAATAAGGACTTCAGCCCATCTAAGAGTCTGCTGGCTTAGCCTTGTTCTCATACATAAGCAAGATTTGGGAATGACCTAAGTGTGTTAGGCAAGGTGTTAGAAATACTGTGTCAACATAGCTATGACTGCCCTTTCTTCCTCATCAAGATCCCAATACCAGCTGCTAGTGAAGACTTGAAATTGTGGGAACGCACACCTACATAATACATTTAAGTTCTGTGTTCTGATCCCTACACCATCCTCTGTGCTAGCAGAATAAAACCACACTTGACGACATGCATTCATTGTGCTTGTGGTTTCTGTCAGATACTCTCCTAGTCAGAGCTAAGTTTGTCATTAAATCAGAAAGCTAGATTTTTTTTTATTCCTGCAAATAGAATTGGTGATTTTATTTATTTTATTTTTTTTTAAGATTTTATTGGGGAATCGGGGAAGGGGAGCAGACAAGTTGCTATCCTTTTGTTCTTCAGTCTAGTTGTGGAGGACATTGCTTCACTGGCCCATGTTGGTATTATCATTGTGCCCTTCCCGGGTGAGGCAGATCGGCCGCCGGCCTCTGGACGGCCACTCACGGCAGCTCTTGGCAGCTCACACCAGCTGACGGCTGCTAACGCTGGCTGCTGGCTACACACAGTAGCTTATGGCAGCCCACTGCAGCAGGGTTGCAGCCTACGCCATTGCCGGCGACTCATGGCAGCCCAGCTCCAGGTCGAGCTGTTCACCATTTTAGCTGTAGAGGGCAGTGTCACTGGCCCTCATGTGGGATCCGAACCAGGGTCCTGCTGCTCAGAGCTGGTGTCCCAGGCCAGCTCTTAACCAACACGCCAATCGGCCGGCCCTAGAACTGGTGATTTTTAAACTTTTTACTCATCACTCTTATTGGGAATCCTGGAACTATCAAAAGTTATTCGATGGCTTCCCTTTTCACTCAGATTGTCATATCCTTCTTGACTCACTTTTTAAACAAACAACTTTTAGTTTCACAAGCCACTAAGAATGATGTGTAGCTCTGTCCATTCTGTTGCTGTATTATGAGCATTACTGCTAACAATATTACAGCAGTGCTGGTAAAAAGTGATTGGAAACCAGTGTCCACCTCAAGTTTTAGTAAGCTTTGGGGTGCTCGCTATAGATTTAATCTTACCAGATTGGTTTTGGGGAAAATGGGCGGGGGGGGGGTTGTAGCTTATTTTTATTAAAGACATGTTTTTTTCTTTCCTTCCCCACATTGGTTCTTCTCTCAGTGACGCCAAGTCCTGTGAAAGGCAAAGGGAGAGTGGGCCGCCCCACAGCTTCAAAGGCCTCAAAGGAAAAGACTCCTTCTCCCAAAGAAGAAGACGAGGAACCGGAAAGCCCTCCAGAAAAGAAAACATGTGCAAGCCCTCCACCTGAGAAGTCGGGGGATGAAGGGTCTGAAGATGAAGCCCCATCTGGGGAGGATTAAAAGTGATGGTGGTTTAGGGAGAGATTTTATTAAAAAAAAGAGGGGGAAAAAGGAAAAAAAAGAAAACCTACTTAAGATAGAACATGGTTTTGGCTATGGCTTGACTCATGGGCTTTCAGTGCTTTTTTTCCTTTTGTTAAAAGTAACATTTTCTCTTTTTTTTTTTTTTTTTTTTAAGGAAACCATTGTATGTTTAATTTACCTTTTTGTCTATTGGTCTGCTCTTTGCCACCACCCTCTCTTCCCCCTCCCTTTTTCCATGTCAAATTAATCACTGGATTGACTGCTTCATCTTTTTATTTTTGATGGAAGGTATACATACCACAGTTGTAAAACAATAAGATTTGAGATGAACACTATGGAAATGTTGCTTTTTCCTAAATGGCAGCAAGTTGAGCAGTAATCAAAAACATAGAAGCGTTTTAGTTAAAAATGATTGCTTCTTTCTCTACTTGGACTTTTTAAAAAACATGAATTGTCATCTAATACAAGTTTATATATCTATATACGCAAGTATAGATGTCTAAAAAAATCATGACTACCACTGATGGGGCAGGTAGGAAAAGGAGATGAATTCTGAATTGTTACTAAAAGTATCCATATTTTTTACCTTGGGGGCACATGAGGGAATGGGGTTACCTGATCTTGTTTGGGGGGGGGGGATTGTTTTTTCCCCCCATCACTTGTTATCTAAGAGACTCAGAGCCAGTGATCCCTTTATCCTGCTACAGTCTTTAAGGAACTTAAAAAAGAAAAAAAAACAAGGGCCGCCAAAACGTAAATCACTCTTGATTTCCTATTTCATTCTCTAATGATTCATGTTTTAAAATATATATGTATCTATTGTTTCTTGAATAGAATTTTACCAAGGGTCAAAAAAATAACCTGAGGATTTAAATGGCAAGAACTATACATCACAGTGGATTTCTTCTCAAACTGACAATGTTTAGGTTTTAAGCAAATAAAGTACCAGTTAATGTGAAACTCATTCACAAAAGACTTGAGATTTTTCCTTTATGAAAACAATTGAAATTCTTTTATGCCATAAAATGTGCATTAAGATCTCATGAACCATGCTGAGTTTTTATTTGGGATTAGAACATTTTCCTATTCATACACCTATCTGCCCATTTCTTCATAGAAGTGTGGGATGAAGTGCATCTGGGCTTCCTGCTGCTGAGTAGGACCCCTTTGCACGCCCCCTCTGGCGCCTCCCAGTCCAGCTACAGGACACGCCTTCTCCTGGCTCTGTCTCCACTACTTCACAGCCTATGCTGAATGCTGCTTCCACACGATTCTGTTTGCTTTTGTCTTTTTACTGGTGCCCCAGCTTACTGCTCATGTTGCTTAAAGCGGGAGTTTAAGGGGCCCAGCAGGACTAGAGAACGGCATGCATTCAGGAAGTCGATGTGCAGTTGATAACAGACTACATGCCCTATGAAAGCAGTCGGGTTAGATCTGTAAGTTGGAGCCTCCACATTCTGTTACCATGAGCTTCTGGGAGCAAAGGTTAGGCGCCTTCGTGCGCTAAGAAGTTGAAAAATTAGTTTAACCTGTCTTTATCTAGACTTGCTTCCTCAATATTATATGTGTGTGGTTTACTTTCTTTAATTACAGCATTTTTTTTTCAGACAACATGGCTTTCTTGCAGATGTTCCTAGAACAAAAAGTTATTTAAGGAATATTTTTACTCTGATTTTTAAGACACTTTAAGGAATATTCTTACTCTGTTATTTTAAAAAAGAAAAAAACACACCCAGTGGCAGAGTCATTTCACTGTTGCACTATGTGTTAAAGAATGAATTTGAAGATTATAGTACTTGGCCAAAAATGGAAAGCTTGAACATAAGTAGCAGTTGGATTGTTAACTTTCATGATGGTTAACTTTATCATCGTTGTGAACTTGGTATGAGGGTTTTAAAGATTATTCTGTTTGCTTTAGTGGGTTTGTTCAGGTGTCCAATTTTAACAAGGTTTCTGTTCATCTAGTAAGAGACCTATCAGTGTTTCCACCATGCACTTCTATTTTTAGGGGTTTATAACTTAAGTCTTACATTCCTAGTAACATTTGGGCTTTTCTTAGATTAAGTTTTGTGAATATTGCTGGGAAGGGGTCTTTTAAAACTTTAGCTTCAGTACTTGATGTAACAGCCTCTTTAATATATTAATCTGCACTAACAACTCTGATACACGCACATGCTTGAGACGTCATCCTGTCTTCTAGATTACTTGTGTGCATTTGGTTGGGCTTTTTGTTTGGGATCCCGTTTTAAAAAATTAACTCATGAGATTGAAAAACGTGTTATATTTTTCTAATAGACTGGACGAAAGGATCTATGTCCCCAAGTGAGACAGGCTCTGAATGACCTTGGTTTTCTCCACTTTGTATTGACGATTTAAAACACTCTGGTCTTCCCCTCAAATCATGCATGCAAATAGGGCAGCTGTGGTGTCTCAACTGGAAACGGGTGCTCAATAGTCAGGCTTGATAATGATGTCAGGACGGGTTACAAGCTGTTTAAACCGATAGTGGCTGGCATTGGCACCACCCTTGACAACTCCCTTTCTCTAGTGTGCCTATGGTGAAATGGCAGTAGCGTTCCCTGTCTTGTTTTGCAGTGCTCAGGAGGTGGGACATGAACTTTGAAGGCTCTTGTTTGTGTTGCCTGAATTCTCTCTTAGGCTTCCCTCTAGAACATGGATTTCAGCAGCTATGCTGACTGACACTACATTCTAGTTCTTAAGATTTTTTTCTTTTTCTAGACTTCCCAACACACACAACTAGACATGGGTAGCTTATATCTTATTAAATCTACCTGTAACTTGCTGCTGCTTTTAGCCCTCCCCACTGCAGATTGGGATAAATGGAGTGGGCCCAAAGGATACGTTTTAATTTCAATAATGGTAGATTGGTCCTTTCTAAAAACGTCTCTCGCTTTCATCTCTCCACTCGCTACTGAGTCCATAAAGGAAAATTAATGGGTGTGTCCTCCTTTATGGAGATGAGTGGACTTCTTTTAATTTGGAAAAATAGTTGATTTCCCATAAAGGAGCTTTGGTACTGGTGTTTCTTTCACGATAACTGGTTTGCCCCAGGTTCAATCTTCAATACTTATTCTTGGTACTGGTTCAAATAGCATTTTCTTATAAGTTAACTAATCAAGAGTAGAATTTGAAGTTACAATCCAGCAAAATTTTTGCCGCTCTTAGGGATATAGTCTGCTAAACTGAAATTGATACTTTTTTTAAGAAAATATATTTTATCCATGACCAAGTAACAAGTAGATTTTAGAGGACTGGTTGGGGAAAGGGGACTGTGCTTTTCTTTAAACAAACCAGTTTAGGAGATGCCTTGAGAGTGGTCGAAAGGCAAGCGCAGAAGTTAATGCCTGTAGCAACGGGGAAAGCTTTATGAAAGCTCAGGTGGCCATTGTCGAAGTGCAAAAGGGCATGTCTGCATCACCAGCAAGCTGCACTGAGAAGCAGAAACTTATCCCAGGGGGGAAAGGAAGAAACCTGGGCGCTGGTCTTGCCCTCATTCTGACTTAGATACTTAAATAGAACCAGTAATACACATTTCCTGCCACGGGACTGGAAAACTGACGAGCTGGTTGCTCTTCAGGTTAAAAAATTGTCCTTTTCTCTGGGATTGGAGCTGGATTATTTGGAAAGGGAATTAGTTTATTGTTTAAATATTGGGACATCAGACTAGCCAAGTTTCAATCTGCAACCCATTTTCCCTTTGTCTTGGGATAAACTTGATGCAGAGTGACTCTGAATCCCAAGTCCCTAAGTTACACCTCTTTTTCAAAGCCTAATTCACAAAATTCACGGTGCTGACTGTGTATTAACCACTATTGGGAAAAGTCCCATAAACCTGCCTGTTGCCATGCCAATGGAGTGACTGAACTGGTGACATCTGTTTGAGCATGCTTTGTGTGGCTGGTGGAATGCCACCATTGTGCATACACTTTGTACATCAGGGTTGAAGGGAGGGTTTTCTAGATTTACTGGGGGAGGGTAAAATTGGGATTTTTTTTTTTTCCTTTTTCAATGGGGTGTAGGGGTATAGTACTCAGCTTATGCCCTAAATAACATGTATAAAAACCCCTGAAGTATTGTGTGGGTGTGTGTGTGTGAGAGTGTGTGTATATGTCTGGCAAACCTTTGTCTTCTGGAAATTAGTGAATTCTTTTTTTTCCTCCAGAAGTATTTGTTACAAGATTTGTAAATAAGAGCTCTACTTAGTTTGTTTACCATGAACATGTTGCAGCAAACCTTATACACCTAGTTCCTGGATTTAAGGAGAGACTTGCCAGGTTAAGCAGCAGCCACGTTCTCAGTAATTGCTTGCCTCGATTCATCTTTCAGACTTCATTTTGACAGCACTAAAATTCCCAGTCTTCCTTAATTTTAGTCCTTAATCTTTTATGTTCTGAGCAGGAAGTGTAAAAGAGGAACCTGTTTAAATGTATTTAATTATAAGTCCATGGGCTGAGACCAGGGCATCCTTTGCTTAATACTGCAATGTTGCTAAGATATATGTGATCAGACAGCAGAGGGTTGGGCATTCCTGCAATACCTTTACAGTGCTGAGATCTGCAGCATGGTACTAAGGAAGTTCAAGTTCGAATGTAACCACTTTATTTAAAAAGTTTTAATTTAAATGAAATGGGATCGAAGTGAACATGATTTTGTTGACCATGTTCGTGAATTATAGATGCAACATGCATTGGTAGACTTGTGTGATGGTCTTTTGTGATACTTAATTTTTACACATCCCAGTCTGTATGTATCTGCATAGACAAAGAAAAAAACAAACTCCTGCTTTCTTTTATTGAAGGGTTTCCAGGACTGCGTGTCTGCTCCTGAGCTCTGTTTTAAGTATGTGTATCCTTTGCTTGTATTTTGTATTAAAAAATAAGAAAAAGAACCCTTTATTGTTGAGCATGTTGGCATTGTCCCCTTTATTTTTTTCTCTTTTTGGGACATATGAAGCAAGTTATTCTTTTTCTGTATCTTTTTTTCTTTTGTAAACTTTTTTGTTTTGTTTTGTTTAAAAACGGCTTTATAAAAGGGCTTTTATAACCCAGATGTGTGCTCTGTGTACTTCTTGTAATACTCCCAAGCAAATACACTGACCTATAGAGCTGACCACCTTGGCTTGTCAGCTCCCAGTCCAGCCTGACTTTGTGGTGGGGATTGGAGGAGGCCACTGTTTCCTGAATGAATTCTTTAGAAGCTGACAGTGACCATCACTCTCTTTGGTAACAAGAAAAGCATGTCTTGTCTCAAAAATCAAAAAGAGTAATTAGCTAATACTTCAGAGTATGTATTCAAGAGGCAATAGATTCACTAACAATTTGTCAAGGCATGAGGATTCCTAGTTAGCATGTTTCTTCATGTTTACATCCAAGGTTATGAAGTGTGGAGGGCAAAATTCAACAATCATAATAAAGGATAATGTGTATACTCACAAAACACATTTGCATTCAATTTCAAATACCCATAACTACACTGTTGCAATTTTAGAATTAAATATTCTTAAGTGGTCAAAATGCTACAAGATCCTTCTTTAGAATTGGGCTGATAATGTAGCTTAGGGCTTTTTTTCAATCTGCCCCTTGTTTATGTTCTTGCCTTGTCATGCAAATATTTAGTTAATGTGTAAACTCAACTTGACTTTGAAATTAAATGCTTTCTGCATGCCGTTATCCGTGGCTAACTTGACATCATTTCTTAAGAGAGTTGTTTGTACCAGATCAAAGTAGACCGGAAGAATATTAACTAGCCGTTCTTATAATATGTAGGTGTTTTATGATTAACATACCAGATTTTTGTTTCAGTAAAATGCTGAAGAAGTACAGTCTTTAAAGGATTTCAAAAACCAGGTGGACAAACATCAGAGGCGTAATAGAGGATTGGTTTGGTAAAACACACGTGGAGCTGCCTGGACTACACATGAGCATTACTATACAGTAATTTAATACTAGCTACACAGCACTTGGCAGTTTATGAAGAGTTTATTTACATATTATCTTAGTTTTCCCAACAACCGAGATGGGCCAGATGTTTGTTACTCCAATTTTGCAAAAAATAAACTGGTTCAGGTAGGATGTGTTTTGATGTGACTAGGATGTGATACAAGGGTTTGAATCAGGTTGTTCTGTGTGCTTTAAATTGTCACAGCTCCCATTGTCTTGTATAAATGGGTCCCTTGAGCCTTCTTCCTGATAACCTTTTGAGCATTTGAACCAGTCCAAATGAGTTATACCAGAGATTTAATGGGAAAAAAATTCTTTAATGTGAGATAAGAAAATTTCTCATTAAATACTTAAATTTACTTGAAAATTCCTGTTGTCTCTAGATATGAAGTTGCACCTTATTTTAAAAGCACTTATTTTCTGATTATATTTTATAGTAATACCTAGGAAAACATCATCTTGACTATACAGCCCTTATCCTCTGCCAGTAGAGGGCAGTGTTAGTCCTTCATATACTTAGCTAGTGGGACCCTTCTCACCCCATCTCATTTTTAGATAGGTTTCTCCTGGGCTCAGTGTCCTGTATCAGGACACCCACCTACTTGGGTTAGAGAGGTTCCATCATCAGTGTGCCCACTCAACATCCTAGAGTATACAGCAGCAATATTTTCTGGATTTTAACTGCAAAGTAGAATCTCTTGATTCATATACATCTGTCTTCTTAGGTTCTCTTTTCAACTCCCAAATGCTATGTGGATGACATCCCAAAAGGAAAGTACGCTTACGTTGCTTTTTAAAATGCAGCTGTGAATGGGCCCTAGTTTGAAACAGGTGTTGCCTTTTGAAATAACCCTCCAGCTCAATAGCCTTGTCACAAAGAAGCAGCTCAGATACATGCTCACATACAATGAATACTGAGGCATGTTTTCAGGGTAACAGGGTACGATGTGTTCCTTTACCTGGATGGTGTGCCTCCCTTTTCCTCTTTTAATAGAATGGACAGGTACCTATTTGACACGCTTTGGCTGGGCTACCTACCACCAGGAGGAGTTACTCATGGGTGTGCTCCCTGTTTCAATATTAAAGTCCTGGACAAATATTGTGAAATACATGCTGTGTTAATTCTGAGGTCAGGGACTTAGGGTGCTGCCAGAGTTTCCATCCTAGTAAAGCAAATAATTACTTAAAATATGATAACATAAAATGTTGGAAGTAACAGTTTGCTTTGATTTAGGTCTAAGCTGGCACCCAGAAATGATTTGTTTAAAAACCTAAGGACTAAGTAGAACAAGGAAGATTATATATAACGATTATTGGTAATGTTTTAGCTATTAAGTTGAACACACACACAAGTCCTTTTATTAGAATGTATGAGACCACTTCTTGGCCGACATGGAATGTAACATGTCTAATAGATACACTTTTTGCACCTTGGGTAGGAACACGAATATGTAGTCTCTATGCCCTCAGGACTTGCCTGACTACAAGAGATTAGGGTGGACAGGTTAGGTAAGGCTCTGAAGGAGGTAGAAAGTCATTGGAACAAGAAAAATGGCCTAAATTTTAGGATAAGACAGCTACCAGTTTGGTAAATAGCTGATTGGTTATGTAGTAAGAAGTTAGTCTCACCTACGACAAACTGAATGTACAGTGATAAAATTTAATAAAAAGTAGATTGCAAAAGCACTTGTCTTTCCCTCAGAAAGTGTGCAGAGACAGTGACATACACTGCATCCTCACTTTGTGACTATAAATTGGTTCTCATGTAGTTCACTAATTCAGCTTATTAGAATAACATGCTAAGCATTTTAAAAATATGGTTTTACTTTTGAAGTAAAGTATAATGATATATAGCAAGGCTCTTATTATAAATAAGATACTGAATGTCTTTAGGAGTCACGAAGGACTCAATTGATATTCTATTTAGATCTTGGAACATAATCTGGGGCTTCAGTAACCTAACTTCATATCTAATGCATGCCACGTCTCAGTTACAAGCGCCAAGCTCCCCCTGTTTATTCTTCCTCCTGCTTCTGACCTAATTTACCACTATCTCACTTTTCCTTCTTTTACTTTTGTGAATGAATAGTTTCCATGGGGTTAGTGTTTTTGAGGCAAACATATTGTTTATACCCGAACCAGGTAGTCCTAGGAGTGGTTGGGGAACCAGCTGTCCTATAGAGAACCACACAGTTGGCTCAAGTACAAGATAAAGAGCATTTCCTGGTAAACCTGGAACAATGCAGAGCTTGGATTCCAGAGCTCCATTGTAGAAAACTGCTGGGGTAACATCAGGGACACAGGAGACACAGCACCTAGTTAGAGAAAGTAGCTGTTGTCCTAGACCTTGCCCAGTGGGCCGGTCTTGGGCCATTAGCAAAGCATTCTTTCCTTCTCTCCTCCTGGTTTCTCTTCATTCTCTTCCCACATCCTCAAGTGAAGCAATAAGACCTAATATTTGGCTCATGGTTACTTATTCTCCTTTCGAAGTCAATTGGGCAGTCACTGAGAACCAGCACCCCACTCTGATAGTCCTCTTTGTGAGTGTCTAGCTGTGCTGTCGTGGCTGCCTCAATGTCCTGAATCAATTCAAAATGTTTTCCTTTCATGGTCATTTAGACTTTGGGGAAGAGCCAGAAGTCTCACGATGCCAGATCCAGTGAATAAGGTGGATGAGGACACACCGTCATGTTTCTGTTTGACAGAAATTGCCATACCAGAAGCCATGTGTGACACGGAGCCTCGTCATGATGGAGGATGAAGTAAAGACACTCATGACAGGAGTTACAGAACTGCTTCAGAAAGTGGCAATAATGATGGGATAAGTGTGTTTGAAGCAAGGGGAGAGTATTTTGAGGGGGAGTAATGGCAGTGTGTCTTTCATTGTAATAATTTTTTTAATTTAAATATTCACCGTATCTTTTGATCACACTTTGTAGTGGGGACACGCTAATAATGCCAGACAGTGGAAATGGGAATTCGTAGAACATCTGTTGCTTCTAGAGTTCATCTCTGAATTAGCCAGCAATATTTATTGACAATGAAAACTATGGTGATGCGTGAGCGGCCAGCAGCCGCCATGACCGACTGTCCAGAAGCCCGCGACTGATCTGCCTCGCCCGGGAAGAGCGCAATGATGGTGCCAACTTGGGCCAGTGAAGCAACGTCCTCCACAACTAGATTGAAGAACAAAAGGACAGCAACTTGTCTGTTCCCCTTCCCTCAATGCCCCAGCGCTGTTCCCATCCCCCAATTCCCCAAATTAAAAAAAAAAAAATCTTAAAAAAATTAATTAAAAAAAAAGATGGTTTAAAAAAAAAAAGAAAGAAAATTATGGTGACCATATTACAAAAAAAATATTGGGGCCTGTGCTCTAATGAAGAGTTTTGTCCTACTTCCCAACTGAGAAAACAGTCTAAGATAGAGTTTGGATCTCAGAATATTGCCATTCCTGGGATATTTTTATGGCTTAAGGAACTAAAGCATGAGATATTTAAAAACTGGATTATTCCAGGAAATGTATGTGACAAGTATAAAAAGTGCAGCAGGTGTTAAGCTGCAGAATTGAGACTAGCACATGACGCTCACTACTGCAGGAGCCCTCATTTGTTTTACTGAAACCCCTGTGTGCCATTCCTCATCTTGTGACCTGCTTTAGAGAAGATTTTTCTTTTTTTATTATTTTTTTAATCGAAGTTTATTGGGGGTGACAATGGTCAACAAAACTATATAGGTTTCAAGTACACAATTCTATAACACATCATCTATGTATTGCATTATGTGTTCACCACCCAGAGCCAGTTATCCTATCACCATATATTTGATTTAGAGAAGCTTTCTGGCTGGTAGTGAGTGAAGCAGGTCAGTTTCCAGGGTGATTCGGGGCAAGTCACCTACCCACCCACCTCCTCATCTTCCCCCACCCCTCGCAGATTCTCCTTTTTATATAATGGGGATAATAAGCAACTGATTACCCTCCGCTTCAAAGAGACACTGTGAGAGTGAATGAGGCTGTGTGCACCTAACGCTTGGGAACGAATCCCTCTGTGCACCTGACTTGCTGTTGGCATGGTAGATCGACTGGCCTCAAACTAGCAGCAATGTCCCTCCAGGGAAAATCGGCGCCTGTGGAAACCTCATTCCTGCAGAACTGAATTCCTTTCAGCTTTGTCTCTGAAGTACAAATGGGTTATTTATTAGTAAGCACACTCTTGCAAAAGGGTAAACTTTAACCAGCCCACAATTTAGAGGAGAGGGAAGAGTGACAGGAACTCCCAAGTCACCTGCATGAGTAAAAGGTTTTTTTATGATAGTGTAAGTTTGCAGGACTTATAGGAGCTTGAATATTTCTTCAGCTTCTCATAGGAAAACAAAATGTCATCCAATGGTTACAAACTGTATTCCTAGTTATGGGACATACATTTCAAATGAGGGAATGCTCATTTGGGCTGGAAAACTGATTAGAAATACTTGTCAGTGGCATATTTTTGGCGTATAAGTCACCCTATTTTTGTATCTTGGGTCTTTCAAGTTTAATACCAGAAAGGAAGCCACAGAACTATCTATCGGAGACATTATGTATCAGGGACAGAAACCTGGGGCTCAACTGAACTGTCTGACTAATGCCGTGTGATATCCTGTGTTCTCGATACTGGAGTGTCACTAGAACACTTTGTGGAGAGCTCCTATCAGG